TGTGTTTGACAGCTATGGGCACTTTTTATTTTGCTCATTAATTTATCCAGTGGCATTGTTGAACCTATGTGGAAGTTTATGTATTGCAAAACATTGCAAAAATATATTACAATTTACAAATTACATTTTACATTTTACAATTACAAATTATATTGCAAAATGTTGCAAAAATCCCTGTAATATTTAGTAGGAAGTTCAGTAGTTTAACTATGTTTGTTTTGACACTGTCTTCTGATACTATTTCACCTTTTCCCCTCTTTTTTTTTTTAATTTAAAGGCATCCTGAATAATCACCTATAATAATAATTTACCTATTCACCTGTGATTCATAAAGTGTCAAGTTAGATCAAGAAGTCTATGTAACAGTAGAATTACAGAATGCATAATTTATAAATATATTTTCATTTATCTGGGCAATAATAATTTTCATTAGGCAAAACCCAAACATCAATAACTTCCTATTGATTCACTGATTTTACTGAAGCTTTTGAAAGTTGTCAGTTTTAAGTAGATTAAATGGAATTAATACATAAAAATAACAGTAATATAAACACTCAGCAATAAAAATGTTCTGAATATACACTTTGGACTGTTACATTTTTTCCCAATAATTATAAACAATGTTGTATTTTAGAATTTATTCCAAGAAATGATGATGTGCTAATGCTCAGTGATTGCATCAGAGTGATGTTATAATACGTCTGCTCAGAGTCAACCTTTGTTGGGGTTAAGTTCTGAGCAACAGAAGTAGTAACAGCAAGAAGGACAGGCACGTAGGGACTCTGTGATTTACTTGATGCATTCGCTGTGGTGATATACATCAATAAACTAGGGGCCAGCAAACAAACTGCAAAATGGTTTGACATAAAAAGAACAAGATCTGTGTAAAAAAAATACAGTGGTGGCCAATCAAAAACTGGTTCTCGTTTAGTGAAAAAGAAAATTTCAGCTATTATTGTAATGTAAGTGCTGAAGTGTTGTTAGTACATCTGATTAATGTGTACAAATTCTGATACTTCTGCTGAAGATTCTTTTTGTTACATTTAGTAAAATTTTTGTATACATATATGTGCATTTTGTAAATAGTAAGGAAAATTACTGATAAAAACAATTTGATGTTTTTATGTCTCAGCATATACATTTGCTTTATTTGGGTTATTTTAAAGAAGTGTTTTCACAATCAGCGAGTAAAAGGTGAACAATTAGATGTATTTCACAGAATCTGCAATATTGTGTATGTATATGTATATATGCACACTCATGAAAATATAATGGAAATAGTATATTTTATAATCAAGGTATAAATAGATGAATAGAAGTTCACGAAACTTGCAGACTATGAAATGAGTTGAATATTGAATTCTAAGAATTTGTGATGATTAAGCATAGTTTGTATGATCCAACATATAGCCTAATTTATTTCCCTTCCTAAATAAAATTACCATCAAATTATATGCCCATCTAACCATCCATTTATTCAGATGTGTAGACCCATATATGAGCCCTGTCCCTGTAATTACAGAAGAATGGCAGTCATTAGTGAATTTATTCAAAGGCCATTTCTAGCAATGCATATGCCATTTTCCCCAATATAAATCTTATTCTTCAAAAGGTTAGGAAATGAGTTATGAGGTGAATGACTAGCCTTTGTTTCCTCTTCTTAAATGCTGTTTCAGTTAGGCTTCTGAAAAAACTAATTCTTTTTGAGAAATTACAAAGATTGTGTGTTGAGGGATCTGTAAGAGCTTGGACTTAGAAAGGATAGTGCTTACAACATAACTCTATGTAGCATTTGCTTTCCTAGTTATTTAAGTAGGAACCAGAGACACTGCAACTCTCTCTGCCCCATAGCACGTTGTTCAGTCATCTCTCATCAGAGAGCAGTGGTCTCGTGAGAACTACTGGTTAAATAAACACGTTATTCAACTACTGTTTTCTCTGTTCTGTCTTCATAAAGTAACCCCTATTACTATCATTTACAGACTGAGTAGTCCTTCTGTTTCACAGATGAATGGTTAAAAAGATTAGAGAAACTGCGATGCGTCTTGCTAGCCTTAATTTGTACTCCAGCGGCTCATATCTGCAGAACTCAGGACTTGGTCCTAAAATTCAGATCTGCATCAGAGTACAGCAAACTGATGTAGAGCTCTGCTTCATGCTGCACAGGTGATGTGGAATATCCCTGCTGCGTGCTCTGGGGCAGCCAAATGCCTGTGATCCTTTTATCGCTGGAATAATTTAATCTCGTTTGAGTAACAGTTGGAATAGTTACAAAAATATGGTTTAGGGATTATAAGGTTTATTCCCGATTATGCTACAAATACATCAGATGTCAAATATTCCTTGACGCGGAATTCACGGACTCTTCGCACGACCAATGTGATCGGAAGACCAATGTGATCAGAAGCAGCCAACTTTATTAGCAAGCAGTAGCCCTTAATATACAGATTGCATTTTCTAAACACGTGATAGCTCAGTCTATGATTGGTGCCATGCATTGTCCACGCGCTCATCGGCTATACATGATTTGCTAAGCGTTACTGTCCACGCGGCTTAACTCCCCCCAACAACTCCTCCTCTAGATTCTGCTCCCATGGCCTTGCTTCTCAAGCTTATCTATCTCCTGCCCCACAAGCTTACCTCCCTACATAACTCTCTCTGCGCTTTCCCACATTTTATCGCATTCTCAAAATACCCTTCAGCTTATTGTTAACATAAAATGATTCTACATGCGTTCAGATGGTCACGTAGTCCACATTCAGTGTGTCTGGGTTGCTCACAATATGTCCCCTCTCTTCCAGATATCCCACAATTCCTCAGAAATAGAAATGTAATGATCTCTTCAGTTATATTTAATGTAATGATGTCTCTGTTATGTTTAATAACAGTGTTAGACTAGTAGGGATTTAAGTGGACTCTAACGTAGTTTTTAATTTAGGGAATAAAATCAATTCATAGCCTTTGACCTATGGCCAGTCTCAGCCTTTGGCTCAGTTTTGCAAGATAATTTGTCCAAATCGTTTCTTCTACACAAGTCCTGCTCCCCCAAAATAAATTACTGACTTTTGGCCGGTGTCCCACTGTCAGAAAATCTCATAATTGTTGTCCATTTTGCTCCTCTTGCACTCTGTGCTAAAAAGCCTTCCTAGTCTGATAATTCTACATCCCTAAATAATAGGAACATTTCTGCTGTTTTTCCATAAACAGTGATGGTGTTGGGGGCATTTTATGGATTATTTTTTTTTTTAAATCTCAGTTGAAAAATCTCACAAAATATTCTGCCAGCCAGGTGAGCTGCTGAAACTGAGAACAGGGCAGGTGAGCACAGATATACTGCACTCACTGTTCACCAAAAATTTATGTGACGCTTCTGGCATCTTTGTATAATCCCTTAGATAGTATTAGATTTATGTGGGGATTCCTTTGAAATATACTGTATTCAGGCTTTTCTTCATCATCTATGTTGCTGCTCAATTCTTCTATATACCAGAGAAGACCTGGATTAGACAAGGTTTTGAAAATGTTGAAGCAGAGAAACAGAAAGATGTGAAAGAGCTGCTGAATAAATATGAGGAGAGAGTGCACAAATAAGGAAAAGAGTCAACAGGGTTACGCTAAGACTAGAAAGAAAAGACAGCCGCAGAGGTGACAACATGAAAATGGAAAAGGAAGTGATAATTTTCCTTTCATAAATACCCATCTGCAAATGCTGTTAGCCAAATTCCCACCGAATATATTTCCCAGGAATCCTGTTCACTCAGAAGAAACCCAAGTTTTAACTTGACAAGCAGATTGTCTGGTAAAAAAATCACATTCAAAAATACTTTGTCCATCATCACTTTGAGTCCAATTCATGCAAACTCCAGCAGTTTCAGAAAGACAGCACTAGAGAAATAGATCTATGTAATCAAATAATGCCTGCAATTCAATTGGTACCACTTTTATTAAAAACATTTCAAAAGGATGGTATGCATTATATATGTTCAGATCATCCTAACTCTGGAGTTTCTTGCATAATTGCATGAAGGAAAACTTGTTATCTGATTAAATAAGGGATTTGGTTCTTGGAAAACCCCAGCAGACTGAGTGATATGGGCAAATAACACCAAGAAAAAGGTTGTGTTCCTACATGTGGTAGGTTTATAGAAGTGTAGAATTCAAGTGGTGAGTCTGTTTTAAGAGAATATTTAGTTACATGTTTCTTCTAAATAAACTGATATCCTCCAATTCAGTTTTGTTGAAGTTTCTTTTTAATACTTTTTCTATTTTGCAAGAGGTATACATAACTTTTCTAACTTTTCGAATAACTAAGAACTGTGAAGGCTGACCTGCAATCCAGTCTTGTTTAATGTCTTTACTGCTATGATTTTGATACCCTGGCTTCAACAGGAATACAGATGTCCACACAGAAGGAATAAATTCTCTTTAACACTTTTATTGCACTGAAATAACATGATAAGCATGTATACAGGGTGTTCATTGAAATGCATTAACCATAGCATCGCTATGTAATATCATTTGCTTTGCATGTAAGTATCAAAACAGTTTTTGGTACCATTTTGGAGGATAGATCAGATGGATCACTGGTGTTCTCAATTATAGCAGCCGCCCCTCTTTCTCTAGACGTTCATGTCAGCCACTGTTTTAGATGTCTCCTCAGGATCTTATAACTCACTGATTACACTTAATCCACCGTAGCTGTGACATCTTTGTAGAAAAATCTTCTCTTACCTTTAATTGAATATCTTGCATTTGAGTATCTTTTACCTTCTGGAAAGTGAGCAGTGGGAGAGAGGGAAGATACCTGCTGTGCCCAGCTTCCCAGTGGCCTCAGTGTGTCTACTAGTGAAGACATTTAGTGATGTGACTAATTGATGTAGTCAATTCTACAGACAACCTCTGCCCCTGTTAAATTAAGTTTTGTTAACTGTTCAACTGTCCATACTCCTTTTGCTTCAGTCTGCCATCTTCTCAGTTACCTTGTATTAATTTTTTTGTAGGAAGCTTTTGGACACTGAAGATGAGCTCTCTGACATCCAGTCAGATTCAGTCCCACTGGAAGTGCGGGACTGGTTAGCTTCTACATTCACGAGGGAAATGGGAATAGCAAAGAGGAGACCTGAAGAAAAGCCCAAATTCCGAAGCATTGTGCACGCTGTACAGGCTGGGATTTTTGTTGAAAGGTGAGAGCTTTGTTTTCTTATTACAGCAAGTACTGCATTTAACCACAGTGTCTGTTGTGGAAGATCCTTTAAGTGGTGGGACGAACCTGAAGCAAATATTTGAGCCAGAATTTAGGTTTCAATTTCTGCAATCTCTCTATTTTTATATACAGAAATCCAGATGAAACCTCTAAATTTGTAATGAAATCTCCTGGACTTTCGAAAATTCTAAGAATGAACCTTATTGCTTTGAAACTTCTACACTAAAATGTACCAAAGATGGCACTAATGTAAAAGAGTATTATACCAGCAGAGGGGCTTTTCTCATAAGTTCATAAAAAGATTTGTGTCGTCTTTGGGATCAGACCCTTAAATAACTTAGTGTTATTTCACAAACTGTGAAAGATGAACTAAAAAAAGATAAATTGTTCCAATACTTTTTAAAGGAGTGCTATTTCTTAATATTTTATTTGTTCTTTTAGGATGTATCGAAGAACTTCTAGCATGGTTGGTTTGGCATACCCAGCAGAAGTCATAGTAACATTTAAGGTGAAATAAGTTTAATAATTGCGAAATTTGAATGTATTTGTAGTTATGTTTAATGACTTTATGGTGAAATGAATATAGTTTTCTACTGAACGTACCCTAACCTTAGTTAGTACTACAAAACTGATCACAGAGAACGCAGAAATTAATAGTTAAAAATTCGCAAATAGCATATGATTCTGTTTATGGTTTCACTGATTAGTTGTGATTTCATTTAGATGTTCAGAGCAATAGGATGAAATTTGTATAGAAATTTTTATAAAAATGTGAGACATGGTTTTGTCAGCTCCCAGTGGTATGGTAATCAGTGTCTCAGACAGCAGCATTTCTTTCCTTTTTAGGAAAGAAAAAGGAGTAGTAGTACTGGGATAGAGCTAACAAAAGAAACTGCAGCTTATGGAACAAGTACAGTATTTGCTGTGCATTTAAAACATTACTGTAGTTTACCCAAAAGGCGATCTTTTATAGTAGTAAACTTCCTACAGCTATGTGTGCAATTAAAAAATGGTATTTCTTGAGAATGTAGTACCTCACCTTTTCCCCCGAAGGTCAAACACTGTTATATTTTTCTCAAATTGCTGTATGGTTATCGTGTTAATGACATTGCCTAATAGCCTATTTAAAGGATGGGTATTCACATTAGCTCCATGAGGTTCTATAAACAATTTGTATACAGAAAGTTAAATTTTAAAGATTAAGGCATTTGATTTGAAGCATACAAAGTTGCATAGGTCATGTTACAAGTATTTTATTCATAACTGGCACAACTATTTTCATCATTAATATTGAAATAGTGATTAATGTATTATCTGCAGTAGGAATTTGAAAGAATTGGACCATAAAAAACCACCAAACCGTCCCCCATCGCTTCAAAACCCAAAATATCATTTCCAGTGATCAACTGGAAACCTACTTAAACAGATGGAAATTTTATGGCTTTTTTCTTCTTCTCCTCTCATCTACAGGATGTTGATAAATGGTCTTTTGACGTATTTGCCCTAAATGAAGCAAGTGGAGAGCACAGTCTGAAATTTATGATGTATGAGCTGTTTACCCGATATGATCTTTTGAGCCGTTTCAAGGTCAGAAACTAGTCACAAATAAAAATATGTATGCAAAAAGACATATGTCAAATTTAAAATACAAGAAAGCCAGCATAAGTTTGAAATAGGTTTTTGTTGTACAATGCAGTGCAGAAATTCAAAGCATATGGCAAATCAAACATTATAATATGTCAATAGTTGTACCAAATGGAACTACACCCAGAGCATGCAAATTTTTCTGCAACCCAAAAAATAGAAAGCTATGTAGGCCCATGCCAAGTCAGTTTGGGATGGGATGTTGCTAGTGAGCAGCTAACTGCTGTAAGCGTCAAATAGACAGATAATGTATACAGCTTATTTACTCAGCAGTACTGAATCAGTGTCTCAGCTTCAGAGAACAAAGGTTCCTAATAAGGCAGAAAACTCTAGTTAGTCCTAAGTACTTTCTTCATGGTCTACATTATAGTATGTTGCCAACCACTGTGCAGGGGTTTCAGCTGAACCTTCCTGTCCCAACCAACTTGGGGGATATATAAAGAGAAGACTGCTTTTCCATGGTGTTTGCAGGGTGTTGCAATACAATAGAGAGTACTTATAACCAGCTTTGAAAGGCTAAGATAAAAAATGGATCAAAATGCCAAATTTATCGTTATAATAGTACCAAATGAAAGTTTCATGGTAGTTTCAAAATCTCTCCGCTGCAAAACTCCCTGCTTCTTTCAAAGAGGCTGTCTTACTCTGAAGTTAGTTCGAATATTTTAATTTTAACTGATAACCCAGACTCAGCTTTTCCCATCAAACTTTTCCATTCAAGCTCTAGGTGTTTGAAGTCAGAACCACACCAGGGCTACCATTAACAACACAGTCAGAAAGTACACAATGTTACTGGCTCAGTGGGCTTAAGCCTATTCTCGGTCCCACTGTTTACCTTGCAGGGATTTTAAATAAAGAAAAAATTCTTAAGGAAAATGTCATTTCATTATATGGATGTTGTGTTTTAACCCCAGCTGGCAACTAAGCACCACACATCCGCTCGCTCACTCCCCCGCCCAGCAGGATGGGGGGAAGAGAATTGGAAGGGTTAAAATGAGAAAACTAATGGGTTGAAATAAGAACAGTTTAATAACTGAAATAAAATAATCATAATAATAATAAATTGTAATTAAAAGGGAAATAACAAAGAGAGAGAAATAAAACCCAAGAAACACAAGTGATGCAAATGAAAACAATTGCTTACCACCATCCGCCTGATGCCCAACCAGTCCTTGAGCAGTGGCTCCCTGGCCAACCTTCCCTCTAGTTTAATTGCTGAGCATGACGTCATATGGTATGGACTATCCCTTGGGTCAGCTGAGGTCAGCTGTCCCAGCTGTCACCCCTCCCAACTGCTTGTGCACCCCCAGCCCACTTGCTGGAGGGATGGGGTGAGAGGCAGAAAAGACCCTGACTCAGTGTAAGTGCTGCTCAGCAATAATGAAAACATCCCTGTGTTATCAATGCTGTTTTCAGCACAAATCCAAAACATTGCCCATACGAGCTACTATGAAGAAAATTAACTCTGTCCCAGACAAAACTAGCACAATGGGAAAATAAATGAGACAAGATAGTACCTGTACTTCATACATTACCTGGAGGAAGAGAAGGAAGGGAAATTGTACTATCAGATTCAAGGAAACCTTGTCTCAGGCAAGGTAAAACTGGTGAAGAAAAGGAGATAATCCTATTGTTTGATTCCTATCTGTCTTGCCTTTTTTATATGAACAATCTATGCATTGCTAGTACAGACAGACAGACATGTCTTGAAAACTATTTTGTTGATAGCTCTGCAGTCTCTTGTACACTAACCAAATGTTGTGCATGGTGTATGTAGAGGGATATAACATCTAGAAGAACTGGGTGTAGACTCCCTGAAGCATGTAAGATGTTAGACCATTACATTTTAAATTTTTCTTTTGTTGTTTGTTAACTAAATTCTATGGTATATTTATTTGCAGTTTATTTATTGCATGATTAACTTTGCAGCTGTTACAGGAAAAAAACCATTTATTTTAATTTTTACTTTCCCCCCAGATCCCTGTTCCCAATCTTATTTCATTTGCTGAAGCTCTTGAAGTTGGTTACAGCAAATACAAAAATCCATATCACAATCTGATCCATGCAGCTGACGTTACTCAAACTGTGCATTACATAATGATTCACACTGGTATCATGGTAAGAAATACTGCAAAGTTCAATTTGCTTGTTTTTTCAGGCTCTAATATTTTGGATAAATGTGTACGTGTGTCTTTTCTTAATGAAAAATCTCCCTAGAAAATTGTGCAGAGATAGATTCCAAACTACTATTTAGGCTGTGACTTTTTGTCATTTTAACAGTTCTTCCAGGCTGGAACTCTCCCGATGTGGAGGAAAAAAGTAGTAAAATGTCCTACTTACATCCTTTTTGCTTTTCATTGCCTGGGATTTTGTATTATATATCATACTAAAAGAGATACACTTAAAGGAGTGTGCAGGTGAGAATTTTTTGCTTCCACATCAGAGCCTGGGAGGTGTGATCAGGCAGGGAAGCGTTAGTATCTGCTGAGGTCCTGTCCATTGAAAGATGTACTGAATCAGTGCAGGCTTACTCAAATACTCTGCAACCACTCTTTCTTTTAGTTTATAACCTTATTTAGGACTGCTCTTGCATACTGTATGTGCCTGTAGTAGGCAGGAGATTGCATTTGCCTTGCACTGTTGCAATATCCCAATATTTTTTAGTATTTGGTTTGGGAACTGAAGTGAGTCTGTGCAAGCATTTTTACTGTAAACACTTAATGTTAGATTTAATACCAGCAGTGGGAATCTCCTCACTATCAGCTTGCTAGACAAAATTAAATACTGACTGAAAGGGAATGAACATCTCTGTCAATGGCCTTTTGATCATTTGTCATCACTATGAATGCACTTGTTTAAAAAAAGTAGTTGGGAAGTGATAGTGTCCGATTTCTGTTCGCAGAGCCATGAAACAATTCCATAAGACATTTGGAAAGGAAAATTTTAGGGCTGACTCTAGATGTTTGTACTCCAATATATACACAATAAACAACGGCTTATGTTAAGCCCTTTCACACTGAAAGCTTTGTTTGGCTTCCGTGGAGGCCAGAACAAGTACCTAGGCATTGCAGGGTTCGATTCTACTGTTTGAAAGAAGTGTTTTGCTTTTAAACATCAAATTTTTAAAGCTACATTTTAACACAAGTACTACTTGCAGGGTGAAGCCTGGAGTGTTCACCAGCCAAGATTCCTTTTCACATTGAGATATTTTCTTGAGAAAGGATTTTCATTTCAGACTGAAGCATAGACTAGACAGCTCTTGCTGAGATGACTCCAAACCAAAGTTGTTGTATACGATATTCACCTATCAAAATAATATTTTAATAAAAGAAAAAGCTTGAAAAGATTAGATCATGGTTCCTATCCTACCCTTGTCTTCTACTGGAAGATCAACTGCAAGCATTAAGTGATGTGAGGCATGTCTTTGTTGCAGGTATACACCAGGATCAGCAATTTAACAGGGAGGAAAATCCCTTTGTTGTATTATACATTATAAACATCCCTTTGGCCCATTGCACATGTGCCCCTCTGCCCTTCAAAAAAGAGGATAGCATCCAGATTTTCTTTGTGATGCCAGGACAAGGTTCCAACTTCCAGAGCTATCCTAGTCAATTTGGGATGTTTAGCCATTGTTAAACAACTTTGCAGCACACTTTCTGTATCTCTGAACACTGAATGAAGGAACCTCTTTTGTATTTGAATATGTGCTATTCCACTGGATGCACACGAGAATGAGAAAGACCTCTCCAACTTAAGTTTTACAATATTGGCATCTTAGCCTTGTAACTGCACTTTGATGTGATTTGGACAACTGTTTTCAGAAAAACAGACTGTTACTTTGCTGTAAAACCTCATTAATGTTGCAATGCTGCTACAAGATATTCCTATAAAATTAGGCCAAGTTTTAAAAGTTCACATTTGAATTGCTGAATTCTGATATTGGAAAGTTCTTGGAAAGATCTCTAACTAGGACAAGACTTAGTCAAGAGTGCCTTCAAACAGATGTAGCTTGCCAGGCAGAAGGAACATTATAGAAATCAGTGTTTGAAAGAGGGCCTGGTGATTCTGCAGCTTGCAAAGTATTTCTGTCCCAAATGTCATTTGCAGTTTGAGAATGCATCAATATCATGCAAATGTTCTGTTTAACTTGTTTTTTTTTTTTTGTTCTTCCTGTTGCCTGGTTAACCCTGCAGAACCCTACTCAATAACAATTTGAAGTTTGCTTCTCAAGCTAATAGTTTTTAAAATATATCTATTGTAATGCTTCTTTTAACTCTGCTGTATCTTCTAACAAATACCTGGATTGGAGTCAATTTGATGCAATTCTATATCAAATTCCGGTGTGGTTTTTGCAGATTGACATGTGATTTGAAGTTCTTATGCTTTCATTGTATCTTAAGGAACTGATACTGACTCTCAAATACTGAAGCAAATTTTTCAAAAATCTGGATTTTAGAAAATCCTTTTCATGATTCCTGTTGTTGAGGTCATGCATTTTGTATCTTTTATAGGCACCTGGAAAACAGCCATATTTCTGCATTTGCCAAAAAAATTTGGCTGATCAGAGTATATGCTTCTCCACAAACCTTTAGAGAGATTCCAGTGAAGAATAACACGTATTCAGAGTCGCAGTTAAAGAAATAAAATGATGATTGTATTTTCTAAAAGTTACTGTCTATCTTAAGAAACAAGATCCAGCCACCTCAGATCAATGTGTTAGAAAGTTAGATATCACAGATGGCATACAATTTATTAACCTTCCCAAGAGATTAAATCCCAGATGATACGACTGAAATATGTAACTCAAGCTTGCATTTATGAAGTCTTCATCTTTATAAAGATTTAGGAATCCAAGTCTCAGGGAATACATCTTGTAACGAACTGTTGAGTCATCGATCATCTTCCCACCATCCCTTTTCTCCTCCCACGTACCTGTATTGCTCAAACTGAAGGAAAAAATGTCTTTATGTCAATAAGTGCATTGTGAGACTCCCTTTCTTACTCATTTTTTAATCTATCATTGTCTAAAAGAACAGTTTGAACCAGAGCTCATGCAAAGTTGAAATATATGTATTTACTTATAAGCAATTTATAATACTGGAAAACATCTGTCAATAGAAGAGATCTTTTCCAATAAATGTTACACCTGCGTGGCATAGTATCTTCCAGGAGGGAAGCAGGTTCCAGCTCTTTGCAGTCTTGCAGACCTGCTTTTTCCTCTCCCTTTGAGAAAAACACTTGTTAACTGTCTCTCTAAGAGCTTTCTCCTACTTCCTTAGAAATTGTTTAGCCAAAGTAGTTCTCTGATTCTCAGATTTGAATACTGATCTGAATTTTGACCATACAGCTACAGTCTCTAGAATACCTGCTCTCATATAGTGCCGTATGAAGTTTCTGTGTAGTCCATAGATACTGTTTGTAAGGAAAGCTCTTCTACTTATGAGTGAATTGTCTAGCAACTATTTTGCTTACTAAAAAAGCTGGTATTTGAAAAGGCATCTTAAAGAAAAAGTTTATGTTTAGCTGTAGTTACTAATAATTTCTGGGTTTCTATTCTGTTTGGTATGTTGAAAACATTGTGAAAGCCAGGACCAGTCATGGCCTGGTTTCTTGTGACACATAATACGATGAAGGTCATTGTTTCCATTTTTAGAACTGCTTACAGTACATTCTCATTCCTCTGTTGTGACCTTTTTAAATCTATACGGTTCCACCAACAGCCAGTACTTGTTGTTCCTCAGCAGTCTTATTTTGTCACTGAATGACCTATTTCATTATTCTCACATTACTTATGAATCTTGACTGCTTCCTTTCTTTTTCTTTGAAAGAAGTACTACTATTGGCAGCTTTTACTACTTCTGGCAGCTTATATATCTTATATCCATTCTTATACATGTATGTGCAAATATGGGTGCATAAGGATGAGATCGTTCTTCAGTCCTTTAGTACAGAAGCTTACTGCTACACTAAAAAAATTTGAAATATGTGTGGAAATGCTTGACTGGCATTTGACTTAATCAGTCTTATGACTGCGGGGGTTAATTATCATATGATTTTTGTGCCCCCATTTTTGGATGGAGTAAATTTTCTCCTCAAGGATGATTTATCATTCAAGAAATAGAACTTGAAAGATAAAATAACAGAGGTTATTTTATAAACCGAGTAATACAGCCTCAGTTAGCAAGAGGTACAAAAGTGCACAAAACTCTAGATTCTGCATTATTTTGTATACATGACCTGTGTTACCTTTTGTTCTGTGTAACTGAATACTAGCCTTATGCACCTTTTTTTGCATTAGTACAAAGTGTGATAAAAATTAGAACAGAAAAATCTCCCATGGGCCTCATTTTAACACTATGTACACTGGTAAAATATAGTTAATGCTGATGTTAAAGCTAGAATTTATTATGAACTGTATATATTGTTCACTAAAAGACGAATTATAACTTTAACTTCTTATCAAGATTTTAGGTGAATATACCATAATTTGGCAAGTGCCATGTATGAGGTAGCAGATTAGATACTTCCTACACAAAACAACTACAAAGTATACCATGTAATTATCTTAATAACTTCTTATATATTTGGCTGTCAATATTTACTTTGCTAGTGACCATAAGGACATTAACTCAGTCTTAGAGAAGTCGTAATAAGTACAAGGAGTTATTTTACTGTATAATACTGAAGTGTTATGGATATATAATTACCTGCAATAAGACAAGAATAAAGTTTACTTAAGTTGAAGGTAATGCAAAACATTTCCAGAACTGTAGTGTTTAATCTGTGTTATTATAGAAAATATGACCAAGACTTTTTTTTTGGTTTACCAGCACTGGCTCACAGAACTGGAAATTTTAGCAATGATCTTTGCAGCTGCCGTCCATGATTATGAACATACTGGGACCACAAACAATTTTCATATTCAGACAAGGTAAGTGAAGTAGTCTCTTAAGTGACATATCTGGAGTTTTCTATTCATTGGTCTGAACTATTTCATATCTCTTGCTGATACAGCTGGGAAGTAGCCAGGTCATTTCTGATTTTACAAATTGCTTCCTTGACTCTGCAGTTAATTGGGGTGCTCACACGAACAAAGACAGTGTAGAAAAGTAAGGAGTTAGCTCCACAGTGTTTCAAATCATTATATTTTGGAGCTGATATGTCAAGAGAGATTTCAAAAATATTCAGAAAATGGACTTGAAAACCCCTCACCCCTCTATTTGCTCGCTTAAATTCTGATACTTTTGACTCAAAATTTCTTCCATAGTGTCCCGAGAAAAATACCACTTCACTTTCAGCAATGTGTCTGCGCTTACTTCAGGTGCTACATTTTGTTTCAAGTTGTGGATTAAACTTACAGGATCCCAGTACAGAGGGAGAAACCTTCAAGTGCAGCTTTACAAATACCTACCACGAGTGCTCTCCTAGCATGTTTTGACAGCATCTGCAGTAGTTACGAGAAAGAAATCTAGAAAGAAGTCCAGTTTGAAAGTCAGGCTAACTGTATTCTCATGCAGGCACAGCATGTTGTCCTAGCCTCTGGTCCAGAATGACAGCATATACCTCTCTCCCTTAAAATATTTTCAGCTTACGAAAGGGAAATCACTGACTGATCCATTACTGTGTGATAAATGGTACACCTGATACTTAACTTAGTACAAAGCATCTTATTGTTCTCTCACACTAATATACTGATGTTGTGTTTGTATTTATGTCTCTCTTATACAAATTCTTTGGTTTTAGTATCCTCAGTTGAGGAGTCCGCTGTACCTGCTGTTGAAAAAAATAATTTCAGCAAAGCACTGGCATGTTCTAACAAAACAGCTCTGTGCTAGAAATACTACTACTGTGAACAGAAGCATCCCTGCACTCACCTATCCCAATAAAGTGCCCAATGGTTACATTTAAATTAAATCCATAACATACTAGCGCCCTGAGATGTGCCTTCAATAATGAACAAATTCTAGATCTGCAGCTGAAATAAAGACATAATTCTTTTCTCCCTCAGCATAGTCTGGCTAAAAATCAACTTCAGTTTGTAGTTCCAAGTTTATATTACTTTTCTATTTTTGTCCTTAATACTTTGCTCTGAAGTATTGCAAAAGTGCAAAAGTAATTAAGCTGTTAGCCTTTGAATTTTACTTGGGCATACTTGCAAACAGGTATTTGTTTTGTGATGGAGCTTGTTCTTCCCTCCTAGTGGAACCTGGTTCTGATGTGGCATCCCAGGGCCATGATTCCAGGCTTCTTTTGCCTGAGAAAAGCTGATTAAATGGCTGTCATAGTCATAGCAAATCTTAGCACTGTTTAAAACTAGCCATAAGTAGTTATGTGGATCAAAGTGTGCTTCATAAACTTATGTAATTGGCAAATCACAGATTTTCCCATGATTTTAGTAGGATTATGGATGTAAGCATAATCATTATTTATGTAAGTTATGGTTTGTTCCTTCTAAATAAAGTTTCCAATCCTATTTTCATTTTATAGATTCCTTGGTACCATACCGTACACATGGGTGGTTATACTGAATATATATGATTGGTCAACAGAACAAGAGGTTGAATTTACCTTATTATTATCATAGGAAACTGCACTGCTAAATCATCATGCCTTTCTTCTAGTACAGACTTTTCAACTGACCAAATTGAAATACTCACAGATGGAACAGAAGTGTAGCAGAGACGGGAGACCCGAGGTTGCTTAGCAAGTGAAATCAGGTCTTGGGGAAACAAATTCCCCAAGAATTAATGACATTTGAAGCTAAGTATGATAAATCGATACCACATCAAATTTTGTCAAAATCTATATGTAATTTTGATGTTGTAGGTTAGTCTTTAGTTAAGAGGGAAAGGGTACTGTCAAGGATGGTAATGTTACGGTAAGGGTCTGGCTTTAGGAAGCACTTGAATGCAATCAAATTTCACCTTAGCATCTCTTCCATTCCATCGTTATGAGGCTCAAGGTTTAGCCATTTTTCTGACAAAAGATGGAATCCGTTTAAAACATAGGAAATTGAAATTTTTTAATATTTTATTATTTACAGCTCCTTCTGATTATGAGTGACATGGACCAAAGCACATCTCTCTCAGAACTGGGGTAGTAACTTCTTAATACCCATGCTATGTGTGGAGCCCTCGCTGTTGGTGAATGCATTGCAGTTTAAACAATTGTATTGCCAAAGGGTACTCTTGAGTAGCCTAGTTAGAGCATTTCTGTTGCTCTACAATCCTATCTACAGTCAAGAAGCTCAAAGATCTCCTCACAAATTTTTGTCACAACTATATAAATAAAACATTACACATTTAAAAATATGACTTTCCCACAAGCAATATATACAAAGGTATAATGATAATTTTTTATGCGTTTAGGATGGAAACATTAGTATTTGATGCAATAGGAAGAAATAAACATAGTTTGATATATATAGTTAATAGTTCTCATAGAGAATACACCGTTCTACCTTCCCCAGTGCCATCATCAGGATGCTATTCAAATTCTGCCTTGTTTTTTTAACACTAGGTCAGATGTTGCAATATTGTACAATGATCGTTCTGTTCTTGAAAATCATCATGTAAGTGCTGCTTATAGACTCATGCAAGAAGAAGAGATGAACATCCTAGCAAATTTAACCAAAGATGATTGGAGGTAAGACCTACCGTGACATTCAAACTTAATTCCGGTATTTAAAAATAATAAAAAACACCAGGCCTTCCCTGTGGAGTGTATTTTAAGAGTTCAAATTACAGGAAGATACTTTGGCTCTGGAAGAAGTCATGGATATTTAAAGCTTAGAGAAGGCTGCTGTGGTGTAAAGAAGTAGTGTTTATTTAGTAGACTCCATATAATTTTCCAAGTGACATTGTGCATTTATGAGCCGCAGTGTCGGACTGTGTGGACAGTGTCTCAGGTGAGAGAGCTCTTCAGGAAAACCACAGTGCTACCCCTCTTGAGCTAGGTTACCTTCGTCTAACAGTGAGTTAAAACCTCTGTGCAGAGTCACACTCTGCTGCCAGCTGGAGCACTACTACCTCCGGGATTTCTGCTGTGTAACACGGCATAGCATAGTCACATCTTGGTTAAGCGTTAGAAAATATATTATCTGGAGAGTCCAAAAATAATAAAGACCCAGAAGCACTACAAGAATCTCTTTTTTTTTTCCTTCTTCTTCTTAATTTTAGTGTAATTCCTGAGGAAAATTAAACCAGCGAAAGAATCAGGATCATAATTGATATGTCACAAATACCAGGACCTGTAAGACCAAAATGAACAATTTAGAGATAAGGCTTTCTCCATTATTAAAAAGAACATGTTATCTTTGTATGTCTTTGATCGGTTCATATAACACTTAAAATATGACTCTTCTGTGTGTTTCTGTAAACATAGCTGTTATTCACAGATCCTAAAAGTAACTTTTAAATAGGTGGCCTGTGAAGTCAGAGAGATGTTCTGCTTCCAGGAAGGTCTCCTGCTGTGAATGATGCCACCACGAATAATAAAGCTATACTCTGCTTTATTTATATTTTCACAAAAATATAAATTTATGAAGGAATATGTGAATTTCAGATCAAATTTTGGTGTGGTGTATATTTACAGATGAAGGACAGTTTACATGGTAGATTTACATGATTTTACTTATCTACATGATCACAACACTCCTAAATAAAGCAAGTCTGCTGATCCTTTTGGTTTTCAATTCATTATTTTTCTGTGGCTACTCCAAAACACTTAATATTAAAATATTTTTAATTTTTTATTTAACACAAAGTGAGAGAGGAAGCATACACTTTTTCATTCTCATAAACGATTTCTTCTCAAAGGATACTCATTTGGATTTAGTTATCATAAAGTTTGTGTTGTAAATTTAGTTCTGGAGAAAGTTCTCTGGAAGTACATTGTAAACTTCAGCAATAATTGTCATATACACTGAGATTTGCATTGTCAACATAAGTCAGCCTTGCTCTGTGTGGAACTATTTTGGGCCTGATAGTTTTGGGGCTGATAGGTCTCTGTGACTCTATTTTTGCTTGTCCTAGTTATTGAGTATGGAGAAAGTGATTGTGCCAGTAGACAGCCATCAGAGGCTGGTATTCTGTCTTTTAAAACCATCATTGTAGGGAGATAATGATTTTCAAATCTTCAGACTTGTTGCCTTGAGTATGTTTTTTTGAAGTGTTGTCATTTCAAATTGTGTCCTACCAGAGAATGCTTCTGGGTAGAAAGGGGCAGATGTTCTTCAGTTGAATTTCAGTTCAGGAATGGACCAAGGATGACTTGAAGATGCTTATGTGCTTCCCTGGGCCTGTGTCTTTCATCACTGGAGACCACCATAAATGAGTATAGTTTGGAATCCCTGCAGCAGCATGCAGTTGCCCTAGCTGGCAGAAGTCTGGCTACTAGCTAGTACATTGCATTCCAGTCATTCCCTTTTGTTTTGTCACTGGGGAAAAGAGGGATAGGATGGAAACTCCAGGGAAAGAACATATTTGTCAATGGAAAGAGGAGCCTATGGTTTCCAGGTGTGTGATGTTTGTACATGTTGCTCTGGTGAACTGCAACAGAATAAAGGGAGGAACGTGATAGACTCTCCACATTTCTGAAGCACACTCTTCTCTGCATAGATTGCTTGGTCTGGTCTTCCCACAGTTCTTTTTCCAGTCCAGTTGTGGACCCTTTGCTTTAACTTCTGTTGCATTTCATTTCTCTGTGGTTTTTGAACCTGTGATAAACTACCACATTCCTTCAGAGGTTGCTCAGTCACACACTGGGTGTGTTTGCACTTGCCTTTCTGTCTCCCCTCACGGTAACCCAATTAGGATTTCCTGGAGAATCCTATTTTAGTTTCGTGAATTTTGTGTGTATAGAGTGGCTGCACAGATCCAGTCCACTATTATATGCAGCTAGTTTGAAGTTGGCGGGATTTGGCAACCAGAGAAAGTAGAATTTATGGTCTCTTGTGGGGCTGTTCAGTACAACTTAGAAGAGACGTATGAACTGACTAACAAGCTCAAGCAACTAATCTAGGACACTCAGTTCCATGTTTTGTCACTTGGCTAGGCAATTACAGTCTGTACTTTCAAACAAATCAGTAACTTCCAAAGTGCCAGTCTGAGAACCTGCACAACCTGTTGAAGTCTAATACTTTAATTTAGAGGGTCAGTCATGGAAATGATGGTTGCCTGGTGTTTCTTTCTAATATCCACACATTCCTGTTACCCTGTCATCAGATACAGTTGTTCATTGGTGCAATGACAGATCTGTTAGCCACTTGAAAGAAGCTCTTCAATTTTCTAATTATTACTAGAATGAACTTCTTGTATCTATACTGAAATTCATGCTGTTAGACTAACAGTTTTGAAGTTTGCACTGAATCAAATTGGCAGTAAATTGAAATGATAATTTTTTCAACTTTTTAATGTACTTCCTGGCACTGATTAATTTCTTGACTACTGTCAGATCTGTTTTCTTGAGTTGCAGCAATTTAATTTTTTAAAAATTTAACACTGCTGCCTATTTAAGCTGTGGTTCTGCTAATTATTTCAGCAAGATGAAGCAAAATGACTAAGAATGACTTTATAATATTACTTTTTCTTTTCTACATTTTAATGTTAAGAAGATAAATGCACTAATAAACTGTCAGCTTCAATTAAGTTTAAAACATAGACTTTGGGTCTGAGCAGGGAAACACTGCCAGCATTCTGATGAGGATGTCCTTTGTGGATAATGCTTGTGACAGTCATAGTCATTTCTCACTCTTTTCTCAACTCTGAAAATATATTCCTATCTTTCATATTGTCTTCTCTCACTTATACCCCTAAATGACTAAAGAGAGATCCCTTTCTGACCCCCTTTTTCCTTTGATTTACCAGGCTTCTAGTGTTTTGGAACCTCACATATTACATCAACAGTTATACGTGGTCAGGTGGTACTAACGTCTCAAACCATTCCAGTCATAAGGCGTACAATGATATATTGCCTGATTATATAAAACAGACTAACAAAACAATATGCATTATATACAATGCATAATGAACAGATTTTCTTTCACAAATTTCCTTGGGAGTCTCCTGTCTGAGGAAAGCAGGACTGCTATAACTTGCAAGATGAACCTTGTATCTTCAGTTCCCAACTTGCTTTTGCTCATTGTAGCCTGTTCCTGCATTCTTTCATTACTTTCCAGCTGACTAAGTGTCTTTGTCATGGGCAAATCCAGGTAAAGCTGGTTTCTGTTTGTTGGTTAACTACTTTTCTGAGAAATGCATGTGCCACTCCTTGTCTATTGTTTATTACAGCATTATTTATGTCATTTTTTCACATAATCTTGCATCTATTTTTTATAGTATCCTACCCATAGACATAGGGATATAGGAGGGTTAAGAAAGGATGACAGCAGGGGATATGACACGTTACTTAAGAAAAATGGAGGTTGTATACTCAAACCCAGTAATCTTCTAATTGTGGGCCCCAAAAAGCCGCTATGCACTATATGGGAATACTGTTACCATTTCCCATCATAGTACTAAAAATGACAACACCTACGTATCTTTTTGCCAAGGTTGCATGAACAATGATAATGGTATTATCCCGATGCCTGTAGCTGTGGACTGCTTAATGAAGTGGGCAGAGATTTCAGTCCAGGAGTTACCTATGAGACCAGCTGTGGTCTCCTTCAATGTGGAAGCTGAGATTTTTTTTTTCCCTGGGAAACAATTTGGGAATGGGTTAAGTCCAAGAGTAATCTGCGCAATGGTAGCAAACTGAGCACTCATAGCTCTAGCAGAGCTTTATTTAGCATTTCCCCATCAGTTGTCAATTTTCCATCCCTCTATTGTTGATGGAGGGGGGCACAGGCAGGGAACAACTGCAGACTGTAGGTGGAGAGCTTCTCCTTTGCTGTTGAGCAGCTTTTTAGAGGCCTGAAATCTTCAGAAGTGTGTGAGGACAGTGCTACAATGTTTGATCCTTATTCAGGCAATGGAGGTAAGAATTAGGGTTTGTCTGCTGCCATGGCAGTGTGAGTAAACTGAAAGCAGTGTTCTGCTTCTCTGTGTGTCTTGTGTAGTAGGGGTGAGCTGATTACTCTTAAAAGTTCAGACATGGAAGGTTCCTAGTAAAATCTCCCACAGAAAGGGGAAGTGACAATCCTTTCAGCCTTACAAACAACGGGCTTTAACAATGTAGAGCCCTCAGTTTTCATGCAGTTAGCTGTTTGGGTTTTTTTCCAATGGGTTTGGCTGTGTTTGAAGGGTACAGTTTCAAAGCAATGTGGAGGAGGAACAGTTAGGGTGCAAATTAATTAGTATCTTATTATCAGGTCAGATAAGGTAAGGCATTTTCTAAACACAAGTTGCTATGGCTGCATATTATTGACTAGAATTGAGAGGATTGAGTCTTTATCCAGTTACATTAAAGCAAATCAGGAATAAATACACAGAAGTCAATGAGGAGTATCAACTTAAATATGCAGTTAATTTGGCTGAAAAGCAGTCTTGACAGTTTTTATAACAAACTATTCTAAGAGCCCTAAAGAAAACCTCCTTAAATTTACCTCCTTAAATCACAGTCCTTTGAAAAAACTGCATTGTTAAGTAAATCAAAGATATGAATACAATATGAAAAATCAGAGAATGACTAAAGTAGGATTCTACTGTTGTGATTGACACTTGGACATCCTTAAGATTGAGGGTGTGCTCATGAAGATATATGCTACATCATCAAAGATTTAATGTGGTGAATGGACTCAGTATACGTATAAGCAACATTTGCACATAAATCCTCCTAAGCCATTTAAAAAGCATGTAAATAAAGACCCAGTAGATTCCTACATGGCCTATATAAAATCCTTCTATATCAAGGAAACAGAATTTTCCAAATCAGTAATTATTGTTGACAAAATTAATGTACTTTTATATACAATCAGAATTCTTTCTTACATGATTCATATTTTACTGTTTTCATATTCATTTAATAGAAAGCTGATGGACAAGGCAACATCTCTGACCATAACACAGATAAATTATAAATCCCAAATTTGTTCTGATTCATGAAATAGGCATGAAGATATTTTTGAGATAAAAGGTAGTTTGTCATAATGTTCATATACTGGTATAAAGTTGATAGTCTTTCAGAGGTAATAGCGCTTGCTCTTCAGAGTGTTTCCACAGCCACCTTCCTAGGTTTAGTGTTAAGCCTACTCTGCACTAATATGAGGGCAGTAATAAAAGACACAAATATATCCTCTTGTGTGCTGGTAAGCCCAGAGACCAACTGTTTTTTCTAATACTTTATTGCTGGAAAAATAAGAAAAGGCTTATAATGGGTGACAGAACTGCATGTAATTTTAGTTTATACACTAGAAAAGAGGAATTACAAGACAGTGTAACTCTGAAATAATGATTGCAGAGTGCATGTTCTGAAGAACATTGCTCGCACAGAATCCCTTTAGGATACAACATTCAAGTTGTTAATATTTATTTAAATGCTTTTTAAAGCACAATAAAACCTGTGATGTTGTTTAGAAAGCTATAAATTAACAAGTACTGCTTAAACAAATGTACCATACATAGAATAAATGAATTGTAATCAGTCATTTTGCTTTCAATTATTCTTAGGGAGTTGCGTAGCTTGGTCATTGAGATGGTCTTGTCTACAGATATGTCGGGTCATTTTCAACAAATTAAAACAATGAGACATACTCTACAGCAGACAGAAGGGTAGGTCATTTTCCATTCTGTTCATTATCTATAGTCTTTCAATGAGCTCGTGTACAAGAAAATAATTTGAATAGTTGCTTTTGTTTTGAGATAATTGGAGCATGTCCTTGAATTGACAGGGTAGACAAAGCCAAAGCCATGTCTTTGATTCTACATGCAGCAGACATAAGCCATCCAGCAAAATCCTGGGAACTGCACTACCGGTGGACCATGGCCCTCATGGAAGAATTTTTTCGACAGGTGCCATTTTAAAAATATTTTAATAAATCTAGTCCAAGAAGTAATGGTTACACAATTAAATCTTTTCATAAGTCTACCAGCAAGGATGCTGTTGGTTGTGATTGACAAGCATAGTCAGTAGTGTATATTCCTTACTCTTCATACATACTACTGACATTAATTCAACTCTTATGCGCAGGAATAAGATGAAATTGTTATAGCTCTATATCTATTTCAGCTGATACCAGGATTCTGAGTGTTGTAGCATTTTTTTTCTTTCAATTATAATATAACTTGTCAAGCTGTTTTCATTCTGTAGACAGAGATTTATATATGCTTTGAGTTAAAAAGGAGCACCAGCAGGGTAGGATGAGAGACTTGAAAATAGGAAGAATTCATATTCAGCAAAGAAGGCAAAAAGTTGTTTCCATTTCACATTTCAGAAAGCCCTCCTATTTCTTTTCCTTGCTGGTACTTGCCATCCATAGTCTGAAGGTTTCACTTTAATTAACAGCTTGTTCCAAAGCCAGAGGTTAGATAGTATCATTCTGTTAACTCTCTGGCCATATATCCTAAAACAAAAATGAAGACACACCTTTGTGAAAGTCTTTTTATTTCTGTGAGATACTGAATTCAAAGAGAAAGGCTGGTAGGTGTTGGTGTCAGTGATGCCATTTTTTTACTCACCTCAGCAGATTAAAAAAAGCATTTCTCCAAAGGGGTAATACTCTCCCTGCAATGAATATTTGTGAACATGCACATTTTTAACATAACAGTTACTGAAGTACAATTGATAACCAAAATCTCATTTAGGTATTACAAAGTTTCTACAGTTATACTCAGGTTTTAAAAATGGTTAATACAGGTAGCAGAACAGTGTATGTCTTGCTCAGCTTGATTGTCATTAATTTGCTATATGCTGACATTTTCAAACCAGATGGATCACACTGGAAAAAGGGATCAGAATAAAACAGTCAGTTAAACCATGAGGTCGTTAGGCCCATCTGCCCTAGAAGGTTCTTGCTCGGTTCCTAGAGATCCTTTATACAAATTCTCAGTTGAGAGCATCAGGACATCCTTGACTGTGGGCTTTGCACTGGGAGACAGATTGGACAGCTGGTGCCTTAATCTAAATAATGAATGGACTGAGTTTTATGGAAATACTGAGTAGAGTCATGAGCTTGTGTCTACTTCTGTAAATGGAAATGATGAGGATTTTGAACTTGAGAGGAAAAAGGAGGAGCAGATTACCCCAGATATATATTACTTGAAAAGGTCAGAAATGACCAACTGTAAAAACATTTTAGACACAGAGAGACAGACTAGACAGAGCCCATGGGACAGTGAGGCAATGAGTCCAGTCAAGTGGATGTAGCATTAGCTGTAAACAGTACCACACTGGTCGTTGAGTGCATAGGATCAGCTAATGTTTTAGTTATTCCTTTATCTTTTCATTAGAAGTAACTCGATCCCAAATAAGCTGCTCAAAGACTTGAGAAGGCATTTAACAGCAGAATCAAATCACCGTGTATGTCTGCAACTCAGCAGTATAAAATGTGAAAGTCTTTCAGGCTGTAGAGGAGCGTGCAAGGAACTGAATCCCTCTTTATGCATACTAGTAAGAACAGCATGCGTGGAGTAGTTCCAACACATTTAAAGTGTGATGAAGTAACTGTAGTAACTGTGCATATATAAATGCATGGAGCGATGCGGACACAGTAGGTCTCCTGCTTTCTAGATGCACTGGCTTGGCTGTGCATCCTCTGGTGTGTTGATCTGAGTGTGTGTGATGAAAATCTCTGGGATTTCCAAACCTATGTCAGCCAAGATGAAGTAGTCCAAATGTATACAAAACCTACTAATTCCTCCTTTTCTTTAAAGACAGTAATTGAACTACTTCTACCACCTTACAGGAAAAAGCAATAGTCTGAAACTGCCGATGCAAAACCAATACTTTAACAGGCAGCTTTCAAAGTAGCGAGCACTGGCAAAAAATGAACAGTCACCTAGACAAAAAACTTTGTTAACTGCAGCTAACGGTTAAAATATGTGCCAGTGTTGACTTCAGGGAAAAAGCCAAACAACGCTTTAAGTTGAAAAGCAACAACTACAGGAAGTGTGTTTTAATGCCAAGGAAAATCTGAGCTACTTGTTTAAAATAGAAATACACCCACCTATCTCAAAACCTTAAAAATAAAGAAGTACATAGTTCAAGTCACTCAAAGAAGCATCACAGCTCCTATAGCATTCTGCTCTCAGTCTGAATAGAACCAAAAGCACAGAAAGAGAATTTGTCCAGCGAGTTCAGCACCTGAGCAAAGAATTGTTTTATTGTTTTGATCTTTACCTTGATTTTAAATGTCATGAAATTCTAATGATCAATTTAAATATCAGTGCTTTGTCCATTATTGCAATTTACAGTAGACGTAGACTTATATGACATTTAAGTGTTAATTATGTATTATATGAAGTTCAAAGTAATTCATAATTGGAGTAAAGAACTACTTGAAAACATAAAAAAAAAATCAAACTGATTCTTTGCTAGTGTGGAATTTTCTATTTTTTAATACCTAGTTAAGGGAAGATTCCAAAATTAATATTGCTTTAGAAAGCCTGTATTCAACAATGACTGAAATTGTTAGAACTAACCCAGTTTATATTATATCACAATCTGGCTCCTGGATATGCCACTAGCACTGCTCCTGGTAGTAAGTGTTCATGTGTTCATCTATACCCTGAAGTCAAATTATGAACACATGGGTATAAAATTTAAAGACCTTAGTGATAAAACTCTCCACTTCCACATGAAATACAATCTGTGAGCTACATCTGTTCCTGTGGCTGAAGTGGTTTCATTGGTATTATAGTTCTAAACTTTTCCCAAATATAGTTCAATGATACATGATAAAAAGACTAAGGAAGGTTGATACTGCCCCCTTCATCATCAGCTTCTGATGAGATCTTTGGGAAAATGGTATGTTCATGTACTGCTCCCCACTGAATGATCATGAAACAGCACTGTCCGTGACTAATGTAATATGTAGAGTCATTTTACTTGAAAAACTAAGTTTTCCTGTATCTACAATGTCAGTGCTTCTGGGTGCCAGGTTTGTCCAGCAACACGAATTATGGCCTCCTTTGAAAGGTGTCTCTTCAGGTTTTTTTGCGCAACTAGACTTTTTTTTTGAGCTTTTGCAAGTCAGTTGGTCTACCATGCTGAAAATGGAGATAACACCCTGCCATCTGTTAAGACTGTTATCACAGAAAACCTCCTTTAATGTGTTAGGTGTTGAAATATTTTCAGAACTAGGTTGTACAAGTCATCTTTATAATGAAAGTGAGCTTGTGCTTTTGTATGGCTTCAGCAGCAGAGTGACGTGCCTGCTAGTGAGAATGAGTTCAAGTCAGATCATGCCCTTGACCTGTGTAAATCCATTGAAGAAATTTTACTTGTTGGATAAAGCAATGTAATAGAAGGAAACAGTTAGCATTTGGCATACTCTTACAAACATGTTTAAATATCCCATTACATCTGGGATCAGCAGGACTAAACTGTGAATATTGAAGGACTTCATATATGTTAAATCTCATTGGCAGATGCCTTGCTCTTGAGGAGGACTTGCTTGCAATAAGTTCCTTTATATAAAAACTGTCAAGTGTAAGTTAGAATTTTGACTTTTACTTTTCCTGAAAATTTAAAGATAAATAATCAAGGGTTTTTTGCCTGTGGCTTGTTTTTATTTAGGAATATGTGTGAAGAAAGTAATCTGTTGAATAAATGCTAAGAATGTTGAGATTCCTTTGTCTCTTTGTCCCTCTATCAAATATGTGCTTATAATATTAAACGTTGTCATTTGCAGGGAGACAAGGAGGCTGCTTTAGGTCTTCAATTTTCCCCACTCTGTGACCGCAAGTCTACTTTGGTAGCTCAGTCCCAAATAGGTAATGACAAGTTGTATATTTCGTTTTCTTGTATGTGTAGGAGCATGTAAAATCACGTGGACATTTCTTGTACCCATTTTGAATTTTAAATGTTCCAAATGCTATCATATAGAACGTATTTCTTTGCACCTCTCTGTTCACCAAACTTACAGAATGTACAGCAGAAATGTCCTGATCTCAAATGAACATGAAGTAATTTCAGCATACGTGATGCCAAGGAGGGGTAGGAGAGGAACTAACCAAAGTACTGGACACGAGCCCAACTTTTACTGTACACACTTTAGAGTTTGGTAGATCATGTCCTCAGACAGATTGACTCTTGCTCAAGAACTCGCAGGTCTGTCTCTACTACAATCTGAAAGCCTGGTAATGTTTTGTAGATGCATCTTGACTTAAAGGTAATTCATACATCAAATCTCTGGACTGCAGTTAAGACTGTCAATGTGGCATGGTCGAACTACACAGAGTCAAGCCTCCTTGGGTTGACAAGGACCACTGCATTCTGTTCCTCTCAATCCTAATTGCATTTTGGCCAACAGTGGCCAAACTTCAGCTTCCCATTTCTGGAAATGGGGGTCTGGGCTCTCTCTATTCCTGTTTTCATCAGCAATAATGAGGGCATAAAAATCAGTAAAGATCACTGAAACTAGTTACAAGGACATACCCTAGAAGCATAGTGAGTAAAGCAGTATGTCCTACCATCTTCTGTACCTTTTATGTGAGTGAACACAGTACTCGGGAAGAGATTCTATAGGTGACAGTGTCTTATCCTTGAATTTAAGTATGTCATCCTGTCTGATCTAGTCATTCAAAATGTCCTTTATTCCATTTCACTGGGACTTCAAAGGCAACGTGCTTGCGGGTCTACCTACTGCAGGAGGGAAGCTGGATCCTAGGCTGAAGCACTGTTGCTCTCCTTTGTGCTGTGTTGCACGGTTAGTGTATGAAGACATCTGGAAATCCATTGCTAGCTCATGTTTTAGTGTGGTTTTTTTTTTTTCCTATTAAATGCTCCACAGAGAATAATGCTTCATTCTCTCACTGTGTCATTTCATACCTTGATGAGCACTTTAAAATGTAAGACATTGTTCAGAGCTGACATCTCAGAACTGTGGGATGAATGCTGTCTCCTAAGGATATTACTTGTTCTCTTCACTGATTTGACAGAACACTCCTACACACTGTGAAATAACACTTTAACTCCACAGAATAATAAACAGCGGTTTGAAATATTAACTCCTTGGCAAGAAGCTCTGAATGGTAAAAGAGGCAGTATGACTTCTGACCCCCTGACTCAATGGTAGCTTCCCTGCTACTTAATAATTAATATTAATTTCAAATGGTAGGTGTGTTCTGCAGTGCATAAAATTTACAAGAAAAAGGAATGAAAAGCTATAATTATTAATATCTAGTTATATTTATACAGCTTCAGGTATTTTTGGTTTTAGTTGTGCTTTTTTTCTTCAAGATTATAGTAGTGGTATCTAGTGTATTGAATCAGGACCACAGTCAGAAAATCAGCCTGATATCAAGTATTTATTTTTAGATTTGAGAGCTGTGGAAATTTAAAATCTAATTTTCTCTCTTTTTTTTCAAGGTTTCATTGATTTCATAGTAGAGCCAACGTTTTCTCTTCTTACGGACTCAATGGAGAAAATTGTTATGCCTCTCATAGAGGAAGCGTCAAAATCTGAAAGTCCTGCATTTGGGACACCCAGGTATGAATACACTGCTTAGTTATTGAACTAACATCAACTAACATAATAATGTCATTCTCAGAATTATTGCAACTATTTTAACAATTGGAGAAGTAACACAAATAGCTGTACAGTACTGCCACCACGTGGTGCCCTGTTGTACTTGCAATATCCTATTTCTTGACTGTGGACAATCGTGCATATAAAAAGGCAAAAACACAATAATGAGCAGATTACAAACGTATAAAATATAAAGTTGATTTTCTACAGCATATCTAGTAACAATTTTTTCCTTTCACTATAAACTTTGCAATAGATTATTGAAGTTCCTAGTTCTTTTAGCTGGAACCATTTTCAGTATAATTGTAATTGACAGTACCAAAAGTTATTAGTTCCTTTCTGAGAGACAATTGGAAGTGAAGGTGGTGAAGGGGGTTTCAGGTTATTTTCTGGGGTTTTTTATGCTGTGGATCACTTTCCTTCTTCACCTTTCCATGTTAATATTATTTGATATATACACTTGAGACAAAATTGATTACACTTATATTCCACTTGAGAGATCTAAACACAGTATAAGTGAGATGCACAGGCGGGGAGAGTTGCCCATCAAGCTCTTGATTTTTGCATCATGATAGAAGCTGTCTATAAAACAAACTAGCTATGACAGACGGTGTTGTCTGAGTGACTCCACGCTGAAAACATTGTTCAATAGTGAGATACTGGTTTTACAAATATTGCTTCTGTTACCACATTTTTTCGTTTTAAAACTGTAATCTGAGCCTTCACTAAGGCTACTAATATGATAATTGCAGGGCAATTTTTCATTTGCTGTGCATTAGTTAGATTTTAATAGCAAAATGGTGAACATAGCTCTTTTCTGATCGTGAGTTTGCATGTATTTTGGTTACTAGAAGTAAGTACAAGCTACTAGAAGTAGGTATTTATGACAGTATTCTTAGTGTTTTGGGGTATAGTGCTAAACTAAGGCATTATTGATAACAAATTTCTTTACCTACTCACTTCTTCATGAATGATTAGCAGCTGCAAATGATTAGTAGCTCCAGGCTTTGGCTGATGTTCATGACTGAGTGGTGGACGAAAAAAGGCTTATGATCCATCAAAGCTTCCTCATGTGAGGTGGAGGACAAAGGAATTTTTTCTTAGTGCGGACTCAAGAGCTACACTTACGAAGAGAGTGGAGAGCCTATAGCATGATACAGAAGTGTCTGAGCCAGCAGAGTTGCACAAACGCTACTGAGTGGACGCCTTGAGTATATGGTGTGACATTCACTGAGGTGCCTGGAAAACGTTAGAATTACAGCCTATTCTTTCCGTTCTATTCCATTCAACATCTCTGGAGCACACGGAAATTACAGTTAACTCTTCTAGTGCAGTTCTCACTGATATATTCACTGCAACTATAGTTTCTGATTAATGGAAAACCATTTGTATGCATATTAACATCTGTCTTTGGTACCATTGAGATAAACTATGCAGCATAATTGAGTAAACAAAACCTGCTATGACATGATTACCTGTACAAGACCAGAAATAGGTCTGATTTTTTAATCCTCAGAAAAAGAGTTCATTCTTTTTTTCCCACCTTTCATGTATCTGCATATTCACATACGAATAATCAATTTGACTTCTACCTCACCTTACGAGTAAGCTAGCTGCAGTAGCTCTTAAGTGGATTTCAAAGCCATTGTACTAAATCTTGCTTTGACTACACTTGAAAGCATGTATCTTGAAGAGAATTTTCAGCTGAAGCTAAACTTACCTACCTGTCATATACTTTCATGTCTTGCTTTTTATAAATGCGTCAAACAATAACAATAAGATGTCTGTCTTGTGAGCCCCAAAGATACCAGTCGCTGTTCAAAAACACAGCTAAGCAGCTGCTCCAGAATGGCTACATAAACATTGTTTGAGGAACCAGCTTACAAGTAATGTATCTTCCGCTGTCACATTTTTTCAAGAATTCCCTGGAAAAAGATCAGTAAGAATCGGTCCCAGGTTACAGCTTCGAGTTGAAGAAATGTCTTGTACCTTAGGCATTCTTTAGTGAAAACTATTTATTTCAAGTTAGTGATTGCATGTAGGGCCTAAGGAATTTGATTCAAATTAACTGTTTGTGTATTATTAAAATTGCCTGACTGTGTTAATAATTTAGGGTTTTTTCCCTTCTGCAGCCAAAATAGTTTGGGAGCAGTAAGCAGTGCTGAAGCACAAAGACGACCCAGTTTTAAAAGTACAAGTGATGGAGGGACTCATACAGAAAATTCTCTAGCAACTGTAGACCTAATGAGCTTTAAGGACAACTTGATGAAGATCATTCAAGCTAACAAAGAAAGATGGAAAGAATTAGCAGTAGAAGGTATGATACACTAAGGTGGAATGTTTTTATAAGTTACTCCCTGAGATCTCCCCTACTTTCATTTTTTAATTTCCTTCAACCTATAAAAATACATAGTTGTCTTATATTCATCTATTTTACGTCTTAATGTTTGTTTAGATGGTCCTGTTTTGCTCTCCCTGGAGATATAAAGAGATGTAGGTGGTCAGGGGAATGAGAGGAAATCCTACAGTGTGTAAAATAAGACTCTGTGCTGCTCAGCTTATCTTTAAAGGTCTGGTTTAGAAATGTGCATTCTTGCACATTTAATCATAGCTGATACTGACATCTACTTTAAATGCCAAAATCAACAATTCAAAGTAGTATGTGCTGCCACATTTCTTAAGAAACGTAAAAGTTGTACTTTGCTGTTAGAAATGCTATTTGTTCCCCACCGTATGGAACAAAATTCAGTATTGCAGGCTTCTTGGGACTACGCTGTAGACAATTATTTAAATGACCCAGTGGATCTAAAGATTTGGGCAATCACAGCATGTATTAGACCCAAACAAGGCAAAAAGTGACTCTTCATTTGCTGGTTGATAGTCAATAAAGCCAAACCTGCATCAAGCATCTCAGTTCATAAGCCATACCTGAAAATTGTCTGGAGTTACAGTTATCTGTGTAAAATGATTTGTGATAATTGTTGAACACAATTTAGAACCTTGATCCAGGTTAAGTGAATGTCATTTGGGAATATTTTGTCCACAGTCTGTGTTGTTTTTGAGTAAGCACCTGGAATATTTCAGTGTAGTGTTTCACTGCCGGGACTGGTCTTGCTGCACATGACCTGATACTGACTGCAGGGAGTGGTGTCCTGGGACCCAGTATCAGCCTTGTCTTTCATCCCATCATCCAAAGCAGCATCTTATTTCCCAATGAGGTGTCAGACAAGACAGAAAAACACTGCTGAGTGGTGCTAAATTCAAATTTAGTGCTAAATTGCAAATGAATATTCTCATTAGGAGAATATTAAGTAGGAGCAAACTTCCATACATCTATTGTGACAATGACTTGAGAGTTAGGTAGAAGGGGCAGCTGAGGAGGAGATTTAACTAATATTATCTCTTCTTCATGAGCAGCTTCATATGATCAATCACCTCTTTTGGTATTGTCTAACTAATGCTGACTAGTCAAAAGGAAAAAGCTGCTAATTTGTGGTGATCAGTAGTAATAGCAGACCACCACAGTGCCCAAGACCACTTTGCTACAGCCTGCAGAAATCAAGCAGCCCTGGGCTACCTACATGCAAGGTCTTTCAATATGGAAGAATGGAGAACTTGCTATTTGGAAGTTTGCCATTTCCAGTTACATGTAACTAACCAGTTTGATTTTGGTACATCAGCTTTTTGGTATATTGTTTTAGAGTTGTACAGTGCTATCAAAGAGATAATTCCTCCTCCATTTCCAGTGCTTTGTGTGATACATTTAGCCCAGTTTAACTAGGCTGTTCACAGCCATGAAAACACAAAGCTTCTCACAGCAAGAGATTTAAGAATTCTTCTAGGTAAATGATTGTTTCTCTATACAGTCAGTATTAATGTGATGCGCAGCAAGATCCAGGAAACTCTGGACATGCTTTCTGCTGTGAGAAACAGAGCTATTAATGTTCCAAGACTCCATGGACTTTGTTGAGATGATGGTTGTCTATATTCTAGGATGCCCTTCTTTTCTTCTATCAACTTGACTAATGATGTATGTCTAAGTATTTCCTGAACAGAGTTATGGAATTACAGTAAAATGTGCATTAGGAAAACTGATGGGTAAGTGGAAATAGCTGGTGTTGAGGCCAGAACTTGATGAACAATATTGACTCTGTGTGATTGTGGTTGAATCAATCTTGCAAAACCTCTGTGAGAGCAAGGAAGAGATTTATAGAAAACTGTCCCATAAAGAGACTACTTGCAGCAACATCTGCAGTTGCCTGGAGCATGGCATGGAGACCTTCAGGGTGCCTGGTTAGAATCTAGATGAACCTTGTGAATAGCGCAAATACTTTTGAGTACAGATTTATATTTTGTTAGTATACAGTAAGTTTTTAAATAAAAGCTGTGGGGGAATTATATAGGTTTTGTGAAAGTTAAGATATTTTCCATTCATTTGGAATAGAATGTATGGGCACTTAGTCCATATGTGGGCACTAAGGGCTGCTGGAAAAGAGGTCTTCATTAAGTGAATGTAGCCCTCTATAGAGCACTGTCTGAGGTACTACATAAGTTCCTTGTCACATAATGGGAGAAGGAATCTGTCGCAACTGGTCCAGATCAGCAGTATGTTGGCTCTGAAGCTGCACCCTGCAAAAGCTGAAAATCCTTAATCAGACTGTGCAAAATTAGCACCTAGTAAAGAATGAAAAGTATTGAAATACATCCCCTTTCCACTTGAAATTCCTTTCAGATTGCACTCAAGTTTGTCTAAGCTTGTAAGTGAATAACCTGAGACCTTGAACCTCAGATAATTCATTCCATCCTGTCTGGATCTCATCTTACCTTCTCTGACTCTATTGTTTGATGAAAAGTCTTTAGGTTGCTCTGGGCATATGTAAGAAGTTGTGTTTTCTTCATATATTAGCTGGAGCTGGTACCAAGTGAAGAAATATCAGGGATAAATCACTACCAGGTGAAAGGAGTGTTGTTATTGCTATCATTACCCAGCTAGATAATTTACGACAAGCTGCAAAGAGCTGAGTACACTGAGGAGGTCACATGTATGAGGACAGTGTGCCATGGTAGTGAGCAGGCTGACTGTTAGTGTAGATCTCCAAACACGTTTCCCGAGCTGACTATGACAAACAGTACTTGTGCTGTTAAAAGAACCATCTGCCTTCTTGTCAGTGGCCTCTGCAAACACTAGGCATTGTTCCCAGGTTAGTTCCCAGGCTCAGGAGAAGTTGTCTCTATAAAATGTAGTAATACAGATGCACAAGTAATATAGGAAGGAAACTAGCAACAATCCATATAATTTCCTGAGGATGACTTGAACTCGTTCCAGCCTGTCACCTTTTGAGGATAAGGCTACTCATGTAGCACTGGTTGGGAGGCAGTTCAGCTGGAGCAAGGGCTCCCTCAGCAACGGATAAAGAAGATGATCCGACTCCTATCCCAGACAATCCGGAGCAGAAGACCAAGACACACTGATGGTGTTGTTGACAGGGCAGCTTTCCTGGAGATGCTGGTGTTACCCCTCCCTGAAAAGGCAGTTGCTGTTGAGACTTCATTCAGAGCAAGCAGCTTGTGCAAGGAACAGTGTGCTTTATTTTGGAAAGGCCCATGTTAGTAAGGGAAGCATTTGCCTACCTAGGCAGCTGTTTGAGAGCTTCTTTAACAGAAGGCTCACTACGTGATGGCTCCATTTTGCTAAAAAGGCCATGTCTTGTATAATTGATGCAGAGGAGCTCAGTGCTCTATAGCCTAAGGGTCTTCAACCTTTCACCACTGGAGAATTAGAGGAATGTTTCTCAGGCCTTTCAGGGAATGCTGTTAACAGGGAATTACCATAATGATCAAACATCTGGGATTCTAATTTGAAAGCCTTGATGTTTAATTAATATTCCAAACCCCTAATCACCAGATAATCTGTCTTTGTTCAACTCAACACAGTGATAAAGAGGCAATTCCAGCCTCTGCATTACTTCAACACATAGTGCTGATGGCTGCTACTATTTGCAATTGCAGTAGCTGTAGCAAATAGACAGTAAAGATGCTCAGATGACTCTGAGAGGTTCTTTCATTAGAGAAAATGTTTGCTAACTGGATTTTAAGGTCTGGAAGAAACGCACATGTTGTTGGGAAAGATTTAAGTATCATGTAAGATCTTACATGACACAGTTCTTAAAATATAGAGAAATTGTAACATAATGATTTAGTATTTAAAAAATACAATGTTTATTCCTTAGACCTAGAAAGTTTATTCCTTCATGCTTATTTTGTTCTATAAAAATGTTCTGAAGATTTACTAATCAAGTTGGTCAGTAGTTGGCAAGCTCAGGTACTCTTAACAGAGTAAAAGGGTATGGACTAGTAATCATGTTTACCATCTGTTTAGTAGGTGTCATTGGAAAGAAAGTTACAGGGATAAATAGGTATCATTATCTTCACTTTACAGTTGAGCGAAAAGAAGCACAGACAGCCTAGGACTCTCACCTCAGGTTGTATAATAACACAAGGGAATGCAGCATACAAACCAAGGGTCCAGCTGCCAGTGAATGGGCCCATCCCGAAAGCATGTTAACGTTGTTCATCTTCAGGATAATACAACAGCAGTGTTACTTGTTGTTCCCATTTTATGCTTATGTAACCCTTCTGAAGACTTAACTGTTACAGGACCTGACCAAAGGTTGATTGTTTGTGTGGAAAGTGATCAGTGGCAAACCTTGTCCTCAACGCCTTTTGGCAGTGCACTGTGCTGCACGGCTCAAGGGTGTGTGTCTGGGGTAACTGACCACTCTGGGACAGGATGAAAAATACGTGAGGCTGAATGAGGCTCTCACACTGTCCTGTGCTTAATTTCAATAATAAAAATATGAAAAAATGACAACTATTGCATCTTTGGAGTAGAGATCAGCTCTTTTTTTCTCCCGTGGGCAGCAACTTTGAATAACAAATGTTTCTTCTGAAAGACCTCTGCATGGTACCTGCAGGCCCCCCTCGGGCACTTTCAGTCCTGCATACTTCCAGTCACAATAACCACAGGGTTCTGTTCCATTTTGTCTGAAATATTTTCTCTGCAGACTCACTAATAAGAAGAGAGTAACAGCTGCTGAACTGCAGAAGTCTGAGAGTGATGATCTGATAGCATGTTAATGGGATTTAGCAGCCGCTAGGAAGGGTGGGTGGTGGGAGGATGTGTGTGACAGTCACAGAAACTGACTGATGGTTTGGCACATGAAATCTACCCTAATGGACTGTTTTAATCTGTTGGAGACAAACAAATTCAAGGGGCTAAAGGAGTCCGACCTAGGACCAGTGATTTTAATTGCAGTG